TGCCCTAACTGAGAACCTTGACATCATAACTGATGCTGTGGTGTGGATAGTGCTGGGGTTACAGTGTGGGTTTAATGGCTTTGGTTGCCCTCTTGTGGATGTGAGAAACACAGATCAAAAGGTGCTAGGTAGTTGTGTTAAAGTAGCTTATACTCTGCACGTTGCCTGTGTTGTGGATGCTCAGTACATTTACATCTCTTTGTATGAACAATCTTTCTGTTCTCTCGTCTCTGTTGACGTGCTCTTTGAAGGTGGCAAGACAAGTTGATAAAGCTGTTAAAAAAGCATATGGGATCCTTGGCTTTATAAATAGAGGCATAGAGTACAAAAGCAAAGAAGTTATGCTAAACCTTTATAAATCACTGGTTAGGCCTCAGCTGGAGTATTGTGTCCAATTCTGGGCACCACACTTTGGGAAAGATGTCAAGGCCTTGGAGAGTGTAAAAAGGAGATTTTCAAGAATGATACCAGGGACGGGAGACGTCAATTATGTGGAAAGAACTGGGATTGTTCTCCTTAGAGAAGGTTAAGAGGAGAATTAATAGAGATGTTCAAAATTATGAGGGGTTTTGATAAGACTAAATAAGGAGAAACTACTTCCTCTGGTGGGTGGGTCAGTAACCAGAAGACACAGATTCAAGATAATTGGTAAAAGAACCAAAGGGGAAATGCGGAGAATTTTTTTTATGCAGACAGATGTTACGATCTGGAATGCACTGCCTGAAAGGGTGGTGGAAGCAGGTTCGATAGTGGCTTTCAAAAGGGAATTGGATAGGTACTTGAAAAGGAAAAATTTACAGGGTTAGGGGGTAAGAGCGGGCATGGGACCACAGGCACAGATGGGCTGAATGATCTTCTTCTAGGATTCTAGGATTCTGAGTATTTTGTGGTGATGTTAAACACACTGTGCGATGCATCACTGAAGCACAGCCAATCTGTACTGGGTTTGCTGAGCTGAGTTGGGGTATCTCAGATCTATCAGTGAGTATCCATCTTACAGATGCCTGCAATTCTCAAATTGCAAATGCAAGAGGACATGGAAATTCCTGTGTCTGGAATGGAATTCGAACTCTCTCTGGAGGGGTGTTACCCTGCTTTATCCAATTCTGGAGAGTATTAGGCGCAGGTTGGCAAGAGCCAAGGAAAATGAAGATCACAGAGGAAGCACCCAGACTGATGGCAAGAATCTCCTTTGTTTATTGGCTCGACAACTTTGTGTGAAATAAGTTTGGTTTCTTTTGGGTAAATCTCCGCTAAACATAACTCGTTCTGTAGCTGATCTGGGAGTGAGGACGCACAGTGTAGAGAGAGCTTCAGTTTGTCTCTAAGCTGTGCTGTCACTGATCTAGGCGTGTAGACGGACAGTGTAGAGGGAGCTTTACTCTGTCTCTAACCTGTGCTATCGCTGATCTTAGTGTATTTGCTGCTGGTTCCATATCTCAATCTGATGTACACAAAGAAATAAAAATATAAATGTACAGAAGTATTATTGTATCCAGGAGTGGTGTAAAACCACCAACACAAACGGGGGTGACATAAGATCTTTGAATACATACTCTATGCCTTCGGGGAGAGTGCCGAGACAAGACACTATTGGGCAGCTGTGTTCCCATCTCAAGTCCAAAGCCACAAGGAGAATCAGCCCCTGATTGTTCCCCCTGTCTTTAAATCTACTCTCCAATCCAGATAATTGATTCTGTCTGGAACAAAAACTGGAGCCCCCGAGGCTGACACTGAGCCGTGCTGAGGGAGCATTGTTGGTGGTGCCATCCTTCTGGTGAGACCTTAAACTGCCTGTTCTTGTGGTCCAGGTGGATGTTAAAGATACCAGGGCACAATTTGGAAGAAGAGTTGGGAAGTTCTTTCAAGGTCCTGGCCAATCTTGTTCCCTCGTCCAACTTCACCAAGAAAACAGATTCATTAATTTGTTACTGTAGGTGGTACATAGTTGGCATGGCTTTACTGCTCCATTTGCCTGTGTGACAGCAATCAATACAACTCATCGCAAGTAGCAGTTTGTCATATTGAAACGCCGGATCAAATGCAAGGATTATTTGGGGGAGAAATTCCATTTTGGGCCGAGAATTACTCTATTCGTGTAGCATTTTGAGTGATTTGTTGAATTCAGGCTTAACTTTGAGTTGTTTTTCTGTAGTTCTTGAAAGAAACTTACAGAAAACAGGCATCAAAATTAAAAAAAAATGCCAAACTCTGGTCACACTAAGATGTTAAGTAGAGTGAATTTCGTCCCCCAATTTTCACGCCTAAGGAAATGAGTGGTTTTGCAAAGAGGCATTTCTATCAATGTGGCAGATCTACAGTGGGGGAAATGGGAATCAGTTCATTGCAAGAAGCAGTTTGTCGTATTGAGACGGTGGATCAAATGCAACAATAAACAGCGAGTAAATGGAGTAAATGAAATAATACACTGAGAGTAAGAGAGTCTGAACACGTGTGAGCTGATGGAGTGGGTCACTTTGCACGAGGCGTCTGCTCACTATTCCGTGACGTGACAGCCAGAGTCAGGAGCTTATTGTTGCGCAGTCGCAAACTGTCCTATTGTTTCAGTCACGGTTTCTTCAGCGCTGGGTTCTTAGGAGGAAATGTGATAAGGAGGCGAGAGAAGGCGAGAGAGAGGCTGATTGTTATCAGGGCAAATGCCTGTCTCACTCGCTCGCTCTGGCTATCCCTTTGCACAAACACTTCCTTTGCCACTGTGATGGACTCTGCCGTTGGATTTCCTGGCTGTTATTTTTACAATGTGTAACAGCTCCTACAAAGGCTGCCATTTAATTTTCCCCCTTAGTAGTACAAAATATTCTGTGATACCTGAAATTACAATCAGCACTCAGCTCAGCTGTATCTGTTTCTATTTCTCTCCACCTCTCCCTCCCTCCCTCGCTTGCCTTCCTCCATACAGTTAACCAGTTATAAAATTGAAAAACATCTCTCTCTGCGTATCTCAGGACTCAGCGATTAGTGATGATTGATTGCTTGCCATATTTCATTAGCCAGTTGTTTAAATATTGTCACTCCTTCCACCCTTCAGTCTGTTGCTATGCTTTGAGCTGCAGAAGAAATTCCACACTTGCAGCCCCTAACAATAGCACAGATTATTCAGCAGCTTCTTAAACAGATTAGCGATGGCCGATTAAACAGATTAAGGGGGGGAAAGGTCTGTGGAAGCGTATTTTCTTTTATTAAACTGGGTTTGCTGTCTCCATGGTAATGTAGCTAATAACACATGTAGGACGAGCGGGGAATGTGTGAGGTTTTATTCTCCCCTGTCTGTCTCCTGTAATTTAAATCTGCTGGCGTACTCACCACTGGGGGAAAATGCACATACAAGGAGCTGGAAATCCAGACTATTGTACTGTAGTGCACCCAGCCTAAACATCCCACACGGGATAAACACGGGAGAGACATGCAGGTTGCGTGACATATTGCGCGCTTCACAGTTAAAGCACGTAGTGTTCCTGTTATAAATAATACTAATAATCCTTGTATTTGAAGTTGCGTCGTATCACTTCGTCAAGACATCTCAAAGCGCTTCACGGAATATATTGTAGATTGAGCTTACTGTATTTTGTGGGCGAAACGCAGTAGCCGATGGCGCACACCAGTGTCCCACAAACAGTTGTGGATTGAGTGACCTAAATTGTTAAACATCAACTGCATTGTATTCTGCTAGGTTTTATCCAATATATTTCTCATAGGTTTCCGTTGAATCGCACATTGGCGTGTTCAGCTCGGGTTGGCTCAGTGAATAGTGTTGCAATCCAACAGAGTAGATGTGTGTTGTTGTCAGGGGCTCAGAGACCAATTAACAGAGTTTGTGGTTCTCCCCACCTTTTCCTGTTAGTGGAGTTAGGTTGACTTTCTGTAACTCAGGTTGTGGCAATCCCTGATCCAATGGCAAAGTGGATAAAAGAACTAAGCCATACAACAATAACCAACGACAACAAATTACATTTCTACACTGCTTTTCACATCAGGAAGATGTCCCAAGGTGCTGGACAGTCAGGGATTTGGACCTGAGTTGGGGATTGAGATTAGGAAGGATGGAGGGCAAGGAGAGTGGGGGGGTAGGAGAGTGGCAAAGGTACGGTCCAAGAGGAGTGTCTTGTGACGGGCCTTGAAGGAGACAAGGGAAGGGGCGAGGCGAAGAGACTGTGGGATGGAGTTCCAATGGGTGGGGGCAGAAAGGACCCCAGGACTCACTATTTGGAACTCCATTCAGTCCAGGACTCCTGGTCTGTGCTGCGTGAGCTGATCTAACCCTGCTTTGGTCAACAAAGATACCTCCTCCCAATCATTACACCTACACTTGAAGAATGATCCCATGGCCAAGGTTCCTGAGCGGACTCGTGTGGCCTGGACTCCAACAAACAGCCAAGTTCTATGGCAGGGAATAGTTGAGAATGGTTTCTAGAATCATAAAATCCTACAGCACAGAAGGAGGTCATTCGGCCCTATGTGCCCGTGCCAGCTCTTTGAAAGAGCTACCAAGTAATCCCACTCCCCCGCTCTTACCCCATAGCCTTGCAATTTTTTTTTCCTTTTCAAGTAAATAAATTGGAGTCCTGTAGTGGTTAGAGCACTCGCTTTGCAAGTGAGAGACCTGAGTTCAATTCCAGGCAGAGGGCGAAACCTTGGGCAAGTTTCCTTACTCCACACAGAGCCTAATAATAATCCCTCCAAAACAAAACAATAATAAATTGGTCATTTTCAATCTACAACATTGCTGTGCGCAATTGGCTGCCGTGTTCGTCCACAAATATACAGTCAATTCACTTTACAGTGTGTTCTGTGAAGCGCTTTGGGACGTCCTCCCGACGTGAAAAGCGCTATATCAAATGCAAGGATTATTATTATTATTATTAATTCCCTTTTGAAAGTTATCATTGAATCTGCTTTCACCGCCCTTTCAGGCAGCACCTTCCAATTTTGTAACTCAGTTGATTGAGGATTGAATAAGTTCTCTTCTCTTGGACTTGCAGACTCTTCGCTGCCAAGTGCAGCGGTTGCCTGGAGACCATCGCGCCCACCGAGTTCGTCATGCGGGCGCAGAAGAGCGTCTACCACCTGCACTGCTTCTGCTGCTGTGTGTGCGAGAGGCAGCTCCAGAAAGGCGACGAGTTTGTGCTCAAAGAGGGGCAGCTTCTGTGCAAGAGCGACTACGAGAAGGAACGCGAGCTACTGAGTCTCGTCAGCCCGGCTGTGTCGGACTCAGGTATGTAAGGCAACCCCATGGACAGCGTAGGCAAGGCAAAGGTCAGGATAGCAGAATAATAATATTAATTCTTGTAGTTGATGTTGCCGTCGAGATGTCTCAAAGTACTTCACAGAATATACTGTATACTTTGTGGGCGAAATGCGGCAGCCAATTGCGCCCAGCAGTGTCCTACAAACAGTCGTGGATTGAGTGACCAATTTTTTTTTTGGAGGGATTATTACCCCCACCAAGTGATCCGCCAATCAACTAACAACCAGGTTCCTTCTTACTGCTAGTTAGACACAGGCATGTGGAGTAAGGAAACTTGCCTGAGGTTTTGCCCCACCTGGGAATTGAACCTGGATTTCTCTCGCTTCTGCCTGTGACCAATCCTGGCTCAGTTGGTAGCACTCTCACCAACCGAGTCGAAGTTTGCGGGTTCAATCTCCACATCGGGGTCTTTGAACTCATAGTATTGTAGGAAGTGCCATGCTTTATCATGCCGAGGTCCCGTCTGCCTGTTCAGGTGCACATTATAGATCATGTGGCACTATTCAAAAACCAATGGGAGTTTCTCTCTCCCAGTGCCCTGACCAACAGTTGCATATCTCAATCTGACGTCCACAAAAAAATCCTCCCATTAAAAGTGGTCACTCACTCGCTGGTTGTTTGTAGGACATGTTCCCCTACAAATACAGTTAATACACTTTCAGTAAAATCCCATAAAGCCCTTTCAGATGTCTTGACGTTGTGGTAAGGTGCTGTATCAAATGCAAGGATTATTATTGTGACCCATTTAACCATTTGATAATTTGTTGTGTCCAGGTGAAGTGATGGGCTCGTATTTGAGGTGTACTGTGATGATGGTTTTATATTGCACCATAAACTGCAGAATGTGTTTGAAAATGACCTTAAATCTTTGTCGTGTCTTGTCGCAATTGCTTATAACATCTCCTGCACGGTGATACCTCCATTGCAAGGCAACAGATGGACAGCTCAATATAGGTGTGAGGTGTCCGGCTATTTGCCTGAGAGATTTTCTCCGCAGCAGTGGTGTAGAGCCTGTTGGAGAGCCAGGCATGGGCTGGGAATTTGTGTCCGTGAACCAAGGCCTGGGCAACAATGCTGTGCCCAGTGTGAGTGGCAGTGGCAGATGGTGCCTCGCCTGCCCAATTTCCTGCCCCTCTCTGTGGGTGAGATTTTAGCCTTTGCTGCTGTAGATTGCAGATGGTGAAGCAGCGATCAAAGTATGTGTCTTGTAAGCACTTCAAGGTACCTATTGTTTGGTACACAACTCGATTGACTCGGGCTTGTAACTCACTCCCGGGATCAATTATTCTATATATAACGACCCCCGCCTCCCCCTCCCACCTACTGAACCTCTGAATTAGCGTTTTAAATAACTCCATATCATGCAATCATAGAAACTTACAGCATGGAAGGAGGCCATTTGGCCCCATCAAAAATGCATGAGTCCTGTCTGACGCATCTGTTTTCATGCTTTAAGAGGCCTCATAGGTTTGAGGGAGGTCTCCTCCCAGCCTCTCTAGGCCATGAGTTGCACCACTCAGAGTGTCCAAGCATGTGTATCAGCCTGGTGCAGTGAAGCACTCACTTCTCTGAGTCAGAAGGTTGTGGGTTCAAGCCCCACGTCGGGATTTGGAATCACACAGTCTAAGCTGATGCTCCAGCGCAGTGCTGGGGGAGGGGGGGGGGTGAGGTTTGCATTGCCGGAGGTGCCATCCTTGGATGAGACATTAAACCGAGGTTCCGTCTGTCTGTTCAGGTGGATGTTAAAGATCCTGCGCCGCTATTCGAAAAGAGAAGGGAGTTTCTCCCTCGCAGTGTCCTGCGAGGGAGAAACTCCCAGATAAAATTGCTCATTCACCTCATGGCTGTTTATGGAACACTGCTGTATGCAAACTGGCTGCTGTGTTTTGCTCAAAAAATACAGTCAATCCACTTTACAGTATAATCTGTAAAGCGCTTTGAGATGTCTTGACAATGTGATAAGACAAGCAAGTATTGTATTATTATTATAATCACAGCATGAGGACAGCCTCGCTCAGAGCGCTCCCTGGGGTCGGTGGTGGAAATGGAAGTGTCACACTAATGGAGTGGGCTGCACTCACCTGAAGTTCAAAGTTAATGTGCATTGATGTCATAATGCACCTGTATTATACCTGGTGTGAGAGTGAGAGAGAGAGAGAGAGCTTTCATGCTGGCACGGGTTCAATGAGGAAAATATTATGTTACCCCAGCACAGACGTCCTTCATCTTGATAATCACAAGACAAATGCTCTTCAGAGAAGACTGTGCTATCTAACAGCGATCTGATTGCATGTACAAGGTGTTCACATAGTCCTGTTACCCCCTCCCGTGTTTTTTTCTACAGTGCATGGACCAACAACTGAAACATGTGGAAAAATTATAATTGTATCTAGAAGTACTTAATTGTATCGAGTTCAAGTGTTTAACTGTATTTAGATGTTCAGAGGATCGGTGTGAGAGAGTATCATCATTTTCATGGCAGATAATGATCCGTCGCCATGTTCGGTGCCTCATCTTCCGTAACATGGATGGAGTCAGTGAGGAGGAAGTTATTGGTATCAGACATTGTTACGTTCAAAAATAAAACTAATGTAAGAAAAACGCAGGGGGTAACAGGACTTTGTGAAAACCCTGTAGAATACAGACCAAACTGAACCCTCTACAGAAACACGTGATAAAATCCATTTTCTGCTTCCTTGAACGTATTTATTTCAGTAAAAGTGACGGTGGTGATAAGGGGAGGAATTCCCTGCAGAATGTTCATCAGTGTGTGGGATCGAGGCACTAACACACATATCCTTCAGCTGCCCGCTCGGGCTGATGAAGTCTTGTTCCTAAAGAGGCTTAACTAAATTTTTATTTAACATTTTCATAGAAAAAGTGCCCAGGTTTACGCACCCCCAGATCCCCCGCATTGTCCGTCAGCCAGCCTGGCGCTTGGCGCTCCGGATGAATAGTCTATTGATGTCAGCATATTGCGGACTTTGTTCTCTGGGAGTCACATAGCAAAAGGGCAATCCGTGGAATGAAAGGAGCTTGGGAAGTGGTACTCAACACCATGTGCTTCACAGCCGTGCTCAGGGGCCTTTCACACTCTTCTGCTAATAGCGGAATTAGGAGCAGCATGTTTTTTTTTCTTTTCTGATTTAAACTAAGCAGAATATCAAAAGGGGCTTTAAAAAGCGCCAGAGCGCACCTCAAAGCCCGTTTTTATGAGAGGAGAGGAGATGAGAGGTGGCTCTCCAGAGGTCCGTGTGCAGGCTCTAATCCCGGCAACCCACGATTTAATGACTACTTTCTCCCAGTATGAAGAGACAATCCTGGGTAAACAAAGCCTGTCCAGGAGGAGTACAATTTCCAATTAAAGATCTCTAACATCCTCCCTCTCTCCCTCTCTCTCGGTAATGCCTGTGAACCAAGATCTTTATTAATTTGAGGGGTTCCTGAATGGCTCTTGTACTGGCCTCAGTTCCTTTTATGGAGGATTGACCGAGCAGGCTGGCATAGTGATGGCCTTTTTGCCCCTAGCGATGAGGAGGGGGGGCTTTAAAGACAACTTAATTAATGTTTGCATTCTTTGCATCGACGTTAAACCAGCAGAATAAATATTATACACACAGCTGGCACCCTATTTAGCCAAACACCACATGGGGAGTAATCCAGGCTCACTTTACATGGAAAATACCTGGAATTCGGAGTTGGAAGCCCAGGCTGAACAAGCTTGTTTGTTTAGTTTTGTAAAGAGCACCAGGTTGCCCTCTCTGTCCACATCTCGCTACCTCTCATTGTGGTCCGAAACACTGTTTATCCAGTGTCTTGGGATGTCCTCCCAACGTGAAAGGCGCTATACAAATGTAATTTTGTTGTTATTGTTGTGATGGATGAAAATATCCACTGTGTTGGTGAATTTCAGTGAAGCTTTTGACCGATGGAAGCTAAGAGGTTAACTTGGAAATCAAGCGCACCCGGACAGAGTTCAACTCAAAATTATGACTTATGTCTGAAGTGAACTAACATACAAATGTGTGACTTGCTCAACTATGTTTAGGGTGGAGAGAAGCCCCCAGACATTGAGATTGAATCTCAGTACACGCTAAGTGTTATAAAGACCAGCAATAATAACAAAAATAATCCTTGCATTTGATACAGCGCCTTTCACGTTGTTGAGATGTCTCAAAGTGTTTCGCAAAAGATATTGTAAAGTGGATTGACTGTATTTTGTGAGCAGCAGTCAATTGCGCACAGCAGTGGTCCACAAACAGTCGTGGATTGAATGTGCCAATTTTTTTTAAGGGACTATTATCCCTGGAAAGCGATAAACCAAACGACTAACAACCGGGTTCCCATTTACTACGAGGTAAACAGAGGTGTGTAGAGTAAGGAAACCTGCCTTAGGTTTCGCCCCACCCAGGAATCGCACCTGGGTCCTCTCGCTTGCGAGGCGAGGGTGCTAACTGCTATGCTACAGGATTCCCAATTTTTTGATCTGCAGAGCTGTATGGTCACTGTTTTCATTCCACACCACTGGAGAGAACTCACTGACTAAAGGAAGTCTTTAAGTCTCGAAGAACAATGGGGGAGGAGAGGAACTTCAAAGGCTCAGGCCAGAGGGGATAAGAATATGGGAGTGTTGAAAAAACACACAGGGTAAGACTCTGTGACTGAATCAAATGGCTTTCAGTCAACCATCCACTAAAGATAATTAGCGGTTTTATGATAGCTAATCATGTCGAAATGTCCCGAAGTGGCTCAGGAGCAATTTCTGTCAAATGCACTGAATGTTCTCGTAAGCAAATGTGGGAAATGTTTGGGCTAGCAAGGTCCCACACGCAGCCCATAAGGTAGTTGACCAATTTAACCTGGAGGATTATTCAGGACGTCGGGAGAAACTCCCTGCAAATTATGTCAGTGCATCTTTCATGTCCACCTGAGCAATCAGACGGGACCTTGATTTAACCCAAAAATGA